ACAAAACGGAGCAATATATATGTTCGTTATGAAGGTAGTTCTATGTCGGGAGAATTTAGGATAACACTGAAGGGATGAACAATCAATACCGTTACTTGAGTATGAGTAAACGGCATCTGACTTGCCACACCACGAAGTGTTGACTTAGGTAACCACACCACCACCGGATTTCTTGCCAAATGGTTCCTTGTCCTGCCGGTACAGGTTAAATCCGTCAATGGACACTAACGCGTCAGCAACATGAGGGTTCAGCCAAGATTCTTGTATGCAAATCAGACAAGTATTAGGGATAGTATCGTCTTAGTTTTATATGGTACTTCTTTGCCCAGTTTAGGCTTTTTGGCCGTCTAAAGCTTCAGATATTGACGAATTCAATAGTTGTCTAAACAGTCCCACAGAACAAATTTTCAAATAGAACAAGGAGTGGCGAACAAGCTCGTTTTCAGTGATTCGTAGTCATGCCAAATACATTACAATAAATATTACGCTGTTTATATATAAATCGGTATTCAATCATAGAAAACGTAAACAAATGTTTCGGGAAAGGGAAAATAACCTCATGGGTTATCTGGGGCTGAGTTCATCTTGGGACCGGATATGGAATTTCCAATGATCACATAATTGTTAGGTCATCCGATCGTTGGGACTACTCGGAATGTGGGGTGTATAGGGGGTGGGTCAGGGGAGCTTAAGCGCCTGCACAAATTGTTTTTGGGCACACAAGGGGGGGNTGCAGCCGAATTCCTACCGCTTCCGCTGTGGCTAGCATACGACAGCGAACCTGCCTTGATAATCGACCACAAACCCGATACAGGGGACGGAATACCTCGGTCACATTCATTCTCATTTAAGCTGTTCCTATATTTCACCTTTAACTTAAAGGTGTTTGGAAGCATAGTTTCATGTGTTTGCATACGACAGCTCGTTGGCTGATTTTGAGGGCACTCCTTGAATAAACTTAGTCCTATGGATCTTGACAGATACAAATCGATCGAAATGTGCAATGGAGTATCATCGGGGAAATGACGTCGTACCACATGCTGTCAGTTTTGCTTTTCCCGGAACAGCTTGAAATTGAGCTTGCTACATTTCTGCCCCTATGTTGAGCGGTCACACCAAGGTTGATAATTCTTTTGTTAGCACATATTTAGCGGTTCCTGAGAGCTCATCATGATGAAAATCCTTCCATTTTTATCTTTGTTATTTTGTAGAGTTTGAATGTTGTCAGCTGTACCCATGATCAGGATAACTCGGCCTTTTCCAGCAGGCAGGATGGTGATGCTTTGGTTTGCCTTTAGAATTCACAGTGCTTTCTCCTCACTTTTAAATAATATTGGGGTTCCCTTTCAACTTAGAGCTGGAAAGATGACTTGACATATGATTTGTCTCGCATTATCACATCCACCGAAAGTTCTTTGTTTGTGGTTATTTTGACGGTAAAGTTCAGTCCTTTGTTTGTTAACATGTGTTATTTCGTGGTTGGAGTTAATTTTGGTCTCTTTGTTCTCTGCACCAATTATGATGCACTTCGATACAAGTAAACGATTCCAATAATGTAGACGACTGAGATACTGAGAGCTAGGGTCTACTCAGGGGCATTTTGGCATGGGCTAGAAGGAGAAAGTCGGAACCAAGAGAGTAGAAGAACCTCAGTTTGAAGCAATTCATATACAAACGATTTACCACGAAATATATTCTTTTTGAAACCTAACACTCCAATCAAACATCTTTACGCGTCTGTAAACCTTAGATTATCTAGATAAATCCGTTGTCATTCTTTTATCAAAGAATATATTTGAACGTTTCACGCAAATTTTTCGCAGGGGATGATATAGGATAGGTTTTAAGACAATTTAGGGGTGAGGGATATTATTAGCGTTAAAGTTCCAAAAGGCGGTGCCTGATCGAGGATAGTTGTTCATTGCAAACAGCAGTTGGGATAGCACTAATTTAGCATACATGTAACAGAAATCGCATTAGAAACATGTCATCGCAATTCCAGGCAGCACACTCAGCAATGAAGGGAGCAGTCTGTAGTTATTCTTCGGGGTGTAGCGATTCGCCCACAGTGGTGTCATTAATTTTTAAGCGTTAAAGGAAACAGCTGACTGCACTGTCTTGCATACTGCTCACAAATGTAAGTAGCACCTCACAACACTGGGTCTCGGATCATGTTACCCTAGGGCGATCGTTAACCCAGGAAGACTTCTATTCCGTTAAAGCCAAATTCTGATATTGGTTCCGGAAAATCTTGATCTCTTGTAACCAACAGTATGAAACGATAGTGTCTGTTTACGGTCATCTGTTAGACGGATGTCAGCAAATTTAGGGTGGTATTCGATTAGTTTGCTTTCGTTTTCCAGCCTATCAAATCTACTCGATCTAATCTGAGAGTGTATCCAGATCTGTTCGGGATCAGCCAACCACGTAGTAAACAACAAAAACCACCAAACAAGGTCAATATTTAACCGTTTGAATCGAGGCGAGCTCTTGATAAGAGTTTTAGCAGGCAAGTTAGATAATCGCGGTTTCCTTTCGGCACTAATAGAAAGACAAACTAGTACCAATGTCTACTTCTGCAAATTCTGCGTCATCTCAAATCGTGACCCATAGAAGGATAACCCAATGAGTCGTACAGTCTGTCATACGTGAGTGCAGCGGAAGCCAAACAAAATCTGATTCCAGTACTCATCTTTTGCTACCTGATCTGATGCATGGCGTACCGAGGACGACAGAAATATAGCTGATGCCGCTAACTGAAAAGTTGCCCTTTTCTCAGATATTCCGGTTCTATTTTCGAGAAGTACATATGCATTGTAAATATTGAGTTAACCTTCAGTCGTGTTTCGGTTAAAGGAGCTGATTGTCGAATCATTTTCGTGTTTACTCTGCGTAGCAGCAAAGAGTATGTTCCTACTATACCCCTGAAATACCCTCAGTTCAGTAGTTCTTTTTAAATCTGATAATCAGCGATGAAACCTACCTTGCTCTTGGATTTTATTGTTGGTAAGCTTGCTGTATAACCGTTCTGTTCGATTGACAAGCTGTGAAAATATTCTGATTGTCAAAGAAACAATTGTCTCTAAACCCACCGCTGAGTTCCACGGAAAAGTTTGCGATGAGTTGGGCACTACCAATTGAAACACCAAATCGTACCGGGAGACAAACAGTTCGCAATTATACTTGATCCCTAACGTTTTATTTGCTTGTGATCACGTCATTCCGATGGAATTACCCTCAAATGAACTGGAATTAGCCAGCTGAAGGCTATATACAGACAAGCAACATTCAGAAAAGGTAATACTTTTCCCTTTTGTAACACAATTTCACTGCAAACTCTAGGATTTTCCCATGATACTTAAATACCATAGAAGACATCTGTTCGATTAGACTATTAAATTTTAAAATCAAAACGAAATTTCAACTTTAAAGGTAATTCTCTTCCAAGCACTTGATATCATGAACTTCGTTCGGGCTAAATTGCCTAAACACCCGTTGGTTTTCTTTGAATTTGTAGCATACTCCGTAGATTGTTCTTGCAACTCTTCGTCTGCCTCTCTGTTTGTCGTTGCTCGTGGCTCACTCATCTTGTCCACCCCCGGTTTGTGAATGTTCACTTGGCCTCGTGGCTCTTCACCTTTATAAACCAATTAACCCTGATGTGAGGATAAACTTAGTTAGAGTTACAATTGTGAGGGAGTTGATGTTTGCGTGTGTTTGCGTGGGGAGCTGGGGATATTGTGTGTGGTGTAAACACGAGGTCGGAAATCGAATGCTCACGGACAGTCCTAATAGGGGAGAAGAGTATTAAGTCTAGTTTCTTATTCATTACGTGCAGTCTACTCCCCTTTATCTATCCCACCACACACCGCTGATTCCCATCAACTGAACATCAACATGATTATCCAAAATCCACCCTTCCTTAAGACTAGTACGTGTTGTTCATCTTATTCACGGACCTAATTGCATTTCGTTCTTCCGTGAACGATAAAACCAGTAGGAAAAACACAACCGGAGTTGCAGTGATGCGTTTCGCCCACTGGCTCTGTATAGAAGAGTCAAAGAGGTCGAGCGGTGTAGAAGGGTGAATGGGAGCACACGTGTGTATTTCTATGCATGCATGAGCTCGCACACTGGCGATTTTGTATGCGAAATTTTCGTGTCAGTCCAGTGGTAGAACCGTTACCAACACGTTACACGTGTAAATCGGAACCTTAACGTTTGATCACAATTGGTCAAACGATTGCGGAATGGAGGATCGTTCCCCCATAGTCGACCAGGAATGGCGGCGGTGAGTAGGGGGGGGGGACGAAAATGGAAAACGTCATGAGGAAAGATCGAGTAGCAGCTGGCCATTAAATGGATCTTAACACAACCACGCACTAACAAATATATCGTCCAAATACTGTCTTTCCTACACACACGCACACGCTACGGACATCAGTTCGTCATAGTGAGTTGGAAGAAGAATCAGGACCGATTAATCCCATCTGTCATCATCATCATCATCATCAAAATCCATTCTCGCTCACTCCCTTGAGGCCGAGATTTGAAGAGAGCGAGATGAGAGTAAGGGTTAAAGACTTTGTCATCCTCCAATTCGAAACCGCCTTCAGGCTGTGATGTGCCGTTGATTGTATGCCGATTGCAAGTGGTAGATAGTGAAAGCGATGCAGTGTCCACGCGCAGACAATATCCAATTCCGTNGGGGGGGGGCGGTATACAGTTCGGAGGCCTGGTGTCTCGGGGGAGAGATTTAATGGAGCTCTTCGGTTTAACCTCTAGCTCATTCTTGTTCAGAGAGAGAGAGAGAGAAAGAGTAGGAGGCGATTACCAATAATCGTAAGTGCTAACAACGAAGTTAACCACATAAACAAAGACTGTGTTAGTGAATTCACACTACTTCATTAAAACTTAAGTTTTTTATCAAATTACCTCTGATTTCTGTTTATATTTCCAACCAATATGAATATTAGCATGGTTTAAAAACAACACTGAAAATGTCATCAGATTTCAAGCTTTTCCCTGCTGCAATTTTCTCTTCTTTTACGTCCCAGATGCATAAGAAACTCAGTTTTGACGCACGCAAAGATCAGCCTTTCTTTGTCCACACTCTGGGTTGGTCATCGATTGACCCCTGTGCCACATGGAAACTATGGGGTTTGGTCTGTCGACAGCTAATGGTGGATGACATTTGTCTTGTGTTGATACGCCAGTTGGGACCGAGCAAGAAATCACGATCTCAAACCGTTCCACCGCAAACAGGTGCACTACCATTCACAGAACAAGCGGTAACAATCTCCGCAATAACACGGACGGAGGACATCGAGCCGGTTGAGAATGGTTCGACGAGAGTGAGCGAAAATTCGGCCTCTGGGGATACCGGACTGTCAGTGGACAGCTTACAAACCACAAGGTATATCATGTCTTTAGATTACAAGCATTTCATCTCAACATCCCACAATAAACCTGTTCATGGAACAAAAGTTGACAAAGTCCATAAAGTTGTTTATCACTGATTATCTCCCCTGCATCGCTATCTATACTCTAATTCTGAATACTAAATAATAACTGGATCAGGAGAATGTTGACCAAATGACTGTAAATTTCTGCATCAGCATCGTGATAGAACAGAATAGAATATGCTTAGTCTGAACAAAAGCGTGTACGGCAAAATACACTGAGCTAAGTTTTACTCGAATATCTTTAACATTTTTGTAAAATGAATATTTTTATCAAATTATCTAGGATAATACAGAAGTACTGCAAACTGTTACAAAAAGAAAGAGAATTACAACTAAACCTGACAGTTCTGTTTGCTGGCACTGCTAAATTAGTTTCCACCAGACGATGATTGCAAGTTAAATGTGACCGAGGCTCATTGATACGGCGAAGTGCCTAACATTGAATACGGCCAAGCACAGACAGAGAGGAAGACGAACAATTAGCTTACACATGGAAGGATGTGGGTCAGCACGAAGAACCGTCTGGCGCGGAATAAAGTTTGGTCCTGTGCTCTGCACTAGAAGCAAATGAAGAAATGCGTGGAGACTGTGAAAGAGGGGCATTAGGAGATAGCAGGTGTTTTTGAAACTCAGAGGGATGAAAGCAAGGCGGAAAACAGAGAAGATTGATGGATGCTTTCAAATGATGAATATGAAGGAAGCAGTAGATTGGAAACTCTTACTAGAAATTCAATAGAAGCTACGTCAAAGTGGAAGAACCTGTGAGGATGTGGCAGTTATAATCAATGCTGGTGGTAATGGATCAGTATGAGGAATAAAAAGAAGAAAACAGCATGTTGGCATCATCAAAAAATGCATGTATTGCGTTGGAGATAATGAAAAATAGAGTGTCGATAATGAAAAGGAGAGTGGTTAAAAGAGCGGAAGTTTGGAGGACGACAGTGTGGTAACGGTGGAAAATGGCTATCACAGTAGACATTTTTAGAGGCTATTTAACCAATAACATTAACAGTTTGGGCGTTTGATTCAGCGCCTTTCCTTGCAGCAAAAGGCAGATAAGTCCAAGATTTTTACTGTCGAAACACTGTTGAAAAGTATCAATGAATTTCCTTATGGGTCTGACGTTGGTGTCATTTTTGAGTCCTGATATCGCAGAAATGAGGGTGTCCTGAAAGATGATGGCGCCTCTGTTGACGATACCGCTTGTGTTCGAGTTTTACTCCGCAAATTGGGCCCGGTAGAACACAGAAAGTACTACTATTTCATCCATCAAGAACATCCAAGGGACAGTTGAAAACCTTAATGCAATCTTTGGGGAAAGATTATCTTTGTTCAATATACTCTATCAATGCCTACAAATTTCTAAGGCAGCAGAGGAAGTTATTGTGTCCTACGCCTGTGTTAGTGGTGAATGCGAGTGCTTCAAACTCAAAAACCTCATAGATGATCAGTCAGAACTCTTCTTTTTGTCTGTGATCTACACTCCTCACCGAAAGTGACATTCGCACACGGTTATTATCCAAACTCGAAACTGAGCGGAAATTACGTTACAACAAGTTATTGAAGAGTGTCAGCTTCTAATCACTTTAAAACACGATGACAAAATGATCCAGTAAACAGAAGACCCACGGATAGCTGACATGAGCGCATTAACCACATCCAGAAAACGGGAAAACAGACCTCGCACCGAATGTTGACACTGTGGTGAGTGGCAGTTCGGTCGATTTCGCTCATACAGGCAATATAAGTAATGAATCTGTGAATTCGTTGGTCATAAAGAAACAATTTGTCACCATCATTTTCAAATATCGTCGAAAAGATATTCGGATTCACATTAGAAATAGAACTGTGAAAACAAATCGATACAGCATCTGATGTGACCAACATTTTACTAAAGACCTGGAATTTTCTGGGCGGATCAGTTTTTGAGCAAACCACCCATATTGCTCGGGCGGTATTCGGGGAACAAATACCATTTGTCATTGAGTTCAACTGCGGATTTTCATTTCGTGATCATTCTCGAGGTGCTTGCTGCACACCTACCTTGATCATTTGAATTTACTTGGAATTTATTGGGTAGATAAATTGGATTTGTGGCAAATTCCATTCAGTGAAATTTGTGATCCCTCTGACACCAAGTCCACCTCGACTTCACACCAACTAATCGATGGTACGTTAGTAAACTTTGCAGAAATGAATGTTTTTCTCTCGTGTTTAAAAGCCGTCTAACCGGTGTTTTTCTGATGGTCTTGGTTTGTGCTGCAAAACAAAGTTATTTTTACATGCACCTTCCGACACTGGACCCATATTTTGTCCAAAACGACCTGTACCTTACGCGTCAGTAAAGCTTGTCAATGGTGAGCTTGATCGGCTGGAACAGTTGGGAATAATAAGTTTGGTTTACTGTTCGGCATGAGCTGCATCGATCGTTGTAGACAAGAGGGCCAATGGGACCATAAGTATCTGTGCCGACTTTTCAACAGGGTTGAATCAATGCCTTGAAACACATCAATATCCATTGCCCGTTCCCAATGATTTGTTTGCCAAACTAAACGGTAGTCAAATGTTTTCCAATTTTAATTTTCTGATGCGTGCTTGCAAGGTGAGGTGGTAGATGAGCGCAAAGATTTCCATAGTATCAACACTCACAGAGGTCTGTACCGCTGCAATTATCTACCCTTNGGTGTTTCTGGACGATATTATTAGTATAATAAAGGAACTTCTCTCGCAGTGTTTGTCTTCTGGCCTGCCTGTTCAGAGATATTATTATTGCTGGTAAAGCAGCAGATGAGCATATAAAAACATTTAGATGAAATAATACAGCGGATTAGTGAGTATGGTTTCCGACTTCAGTTTCAGAAAAGTTCATTTGGCTTTTCCAGCATCAACTATTTAATACCACTAGTAGAAGTCCNAGAAGTCCTGACCTGATGAAAATTGCTATAATAGATCGAATGCCCGCACCGACCAATATAGAAACACAGCAATACTTCCTTGGGCTCGTGAATTCTTATTGCAACTTTGTACCACACATATCAACTACGAGCTTCATTAAACCAATTATTGAAATGAAAAACTAAATGGTATTGGTAGCCTGCATGTCCTGAGGCATTTATTGTAACTAAATGAAATCTCTCGTCAATTTACTTCTCACTCGCTGCTACCCCAAATTATCTATGATTGTTGCAGTTTACGCTTCAGAATATGGAATCAGAGCCCCTTTTACATGAATTAACTTATGACAGTCGCAAAGCTGTGAGCACCATCGGCAGCAGAAGAGAACTATGGTCAAAAAGAAAAGGAAGGACCAAAGCTGATTTTCGCACTCATGAACTTCCATAAAATACTGCAAGAAAGAAAATCTACCCTGCTCACTGATCACAAACCGTTGCTGTTCATCTTCGGCGCGAAGATAAGAGTCCTGCTACACACTGCAAATTGGTTACCGCGTTGAACCGCGATGCTGATATGTTATGATTTTGACTTACGTTTCATTAAAATGACAAGTTTTGGACATGCTGATGTTCTATCCTGACTGAAATCTGGCCATGGCAGTTGTCTCCCTGAGAAATAATTTAATCTTATCAATTGCCGTCAATTCTGATATTCAGTACGTTTTCGAAGATGCGATGCGCAGCGCACCACCTGCTTCTAAGATGATCTGGCACAATACATTGAAGGACAGATTACTGCAGGACGTGATGCTTTCTTGTAGAACCGGTTGGCCTCAGAACCGTAAAAACAGAGATCAAGAACTTTTCAAAATGAAATAGGCGTTATCTGTCGGACAAGAATGTTTGATGCTTGGAGAACGAGTTGTTCTGCCCTACACTTTACAATCAACTGTGTTGAAGCAGTTTCATCATGGTCATCGCAGAATCAGTCGCATGAAGGCGATTGCTGAAAGTTACGCCTATTGGCCATTTATGGAGCAGCAAATTGAACAGGAACTTAAAGCTTGCCACAGTTGTTTAACGGCAGTTAAACTACTACCTAAGGCTGGCTCAAATCATGGTAACCTGCCGCGGAGCCCTGATCATGCATTCACATTGATGGTGGCCCGAAGTTACTTCGATGCGTGTTGCCATTACGTCTTCTATCACAACAAAATTCAGATTATTTGCCCAGTTCGGCATGCTGGAAGTCTCGATTTCAGATAACAGTTCACATCTTCACAATTCACTGTTCTGTGGGTCAAATAGCATCCTCACTTTTCGTACTCCTGTGTATCATTCACCATCGAACGGTCAAGTAGAACGATTTGTTGACACGTCTAAACGTTCTCTGATAAATTCACAGGGGGAGGGTAAACTACAAGAGTCCATTGCTGCATTTCTCCTCGCCATTCGCTGGACTCCCAACCCTGCTACCCCCAAACAGAATTCCCCTGCCGAACTGCTTCTAGATAGACGAATGCGACTAGTTATCAACGCCTTGAATCTGACAGCGTAAAATATTGCAGAATCACGCATAGCTAAAAATACCAACGTCATATAGATAAAGTTTAAGGCACGAAATCATGTTTATATACGTCATTATTGAAGTGGATTATTGAGCTGAATTTCCGGAGAATTGACTGGTCACATATAAAGTCGAAGTGGGATATTTCAAATAGACTAGGTATATCGAACACCTCAGACCTATTACCGGGTGACAAGACTCAACGAAATGCTCCTCTAAGGGTTTACTGATGGATCGCCAGATTACAAACAAAAGTTCGGCAGACTTCAGTATCGAAGTGGAAGCACCAAATTCAGCTGACCGGCGATACTCAGCTGGAAATTGAGCTCCAATATGCAGTCTGATCATCAACCCAAAGAATCATATATAGGAGTCGTCAATAGTGCGTTGAATTTTGATCTTTTGAAAGGAAGAAGCTGTGTTAAGAGCCGTGTGAATGCCACAATTGACGAGTAGCTGTGTTTAATTATGCCGCACCACGACAGGTACGGATGAGCCACTGGAAAACTCTTGTTTGCTGGGCTGGGTACCGTGGGGATGAAAATAAGTGCTACTTGAAGAATAAGTATTACAAGGTGCGAAGAAGATTCATAAAGGAAACACAAGTTTTGTCACATTAGGGGATGTTTACTCAGCAGAATCGTGATGCCAAAATGTTTGTCAAGATGTTGGAGGCGGAGAGTGAATACGCGTTAAGTTGTTTAGATCATCGC